AGAGGGGGGGTGGGGGGGTCCAGGCTAATAGACTTTGTGTGCTCCTGCCCCACAGGGAAGTGGGGGGGCTGGAGAGCCAGCACAGGCCCCCCAAGGCTGAGGGGGAGCCCTGATCCTCAGGGGCCAGATCCAGGCAAGCTGGGGGCCACATCCGGTCCCCAGCCCTGGACTAGAAGGGGGGGAGGGAGGCAGGAGCGATGGAGGCGGAGATAGGGGGAGAAGGGGAAGGAAGCTGGAGGGGGGGACAGAGAGGCGGGACGGGGGGAGGGAGGCAGAGGGCTGGGGAGGGCTGAAGAGCGGGATGGGGCAGAAGTCAGAAGGGCTCCCCCAGGCCCACCGGAGGGCGATGTAGCTGCCCGAAGAGGGGGCCAGGATAGAAGGGGGGGGCTGCACCGGCAAAGGGCAGTGAGGCGGAGGGGGTCAGGTGGAGAGAGAGGCAGAGACGGGGAACAAGGGAGGGACCCAGCAGGATCCAACAGAAGAAGGTAACAGGGAGGGGTGGGGATGAGAGGCAGGAATTCCACTGGGAAAAAGAATTCGGGTTTGAGCCTTTAGTCCCCCCGGGTCCCCTCCGCCCACTGAGTCTTAGTAATGCAGCCCCCCCCACCCCTCACAAACAGCTGACTTGAACCCACCACCCTGCCCTTCCCAGGCAAACGCCCTATCCCCTAGGCCACGCCAGAACCCACCCACGGCTACACACTGCATTGCCCGGGACCCCTTCACGCTGCACCTCCCACCCACTGCGCCTGAGTCACTCTCCTTAATGCCACTTTAAAACCACAGGGCCGTGGCGGCGGCGGGAGAGGCCAGGGGGCTGCACAGTCTGTACCCCTGGTGAAAATATTCGGGGGCCAGTTACTTACAGGGATGCATGAGGAGCAGCTCCCCTTCTGCTCTTGCAGCTGGATCACCCGCCTGAGTGCAGGAAATCGAGATTCACTTCCTGGCTCCGTCCCTCTCCCTGTGCGATCCCAGGCAGGCCGCTACCTGGCTGTAAAATGAACAGAGTTCTCCTCCTTCATCTGCTGAGATCAGAAGCCCTCCAGAGCAGGGACTCGCTCCTCCTCCATGTCTGTGCAGCACCCAGCACCAGGGGCTTGCTAGGCCCTACTGGAATGCAGATCAGCATTTGCAAGGCTTCACTTGCAAAGTCCCGGAGAGTTGAGATCATCTTAGATTTGCCATTGAAGAAACAAAACACCCAGTTTTGAAATCTACCAGCCCAGGACGTTGTCAAAACAACTCTGAACACCCTGTTGGGAGAGTCTCCCTAGGCCATTCCCATCAAATTGCCTTCATCCATCAACCCTACATTAATGTTACCCCCTGCAAACCAGAGTTCCTGCCTCATCGCCATCAGAGACAGAAGATTCTGCGGCCAGAATTCGGGAGACAAGTTTTCCCAACGGCGCATGAAGCAGCAAACAACGATTTCAGCCCTGATGAAAGGTTCGTCTGTGGGCTCAAAGCACTTGACAGCACTGTGGTCCCCATGTTACAGCTGGGGAAACCGAGGCACAGCGCAGCGTCACCAGTATGACTTGCCCAGGAAGTTTGTGGCAGCCCAGAAGCCCTGGATCCTAGCTCAGTGCACTTCCCGCTGCCTCCTTCCTCTCCTAGCTGCAGGGGGCTTCGCGGGGCCAACAGATCAGCAGCCATTTCACACACACGGTCTGCACTTTCGTTGACAGATACGCGCACGTCACTAGCTGAACTTTCCTTCCCTTCGTGCAACACCCTCGATGACCTTAAACCAGCCACATGGATTGTGGGCTGAGACTTCAGTCACCCTCTTACCAGCCCGTGTCACCCCACTCCAGACATCCCTACAGCACTACACACTCTTCATATGCTGCTGCCAGCGTTACCCCTTTCACAGCTGTAGCACCCGCCCCGTGTTACTGCCCCACCCTCTTGCACACCCAGCTCCTCCCTGCGCTGCACAGAGACACACACACACGCACACGCAGCGGGTGCCTCTCTCCATCACACATGCGGGGTTCACGTGGCCCAGCAGCGTCTCCCTGTTTACAGGCGAATCCCCAGGCCTGCCAACGCACACCGGCCTGCCAGGGACAGCCGGACAAAGCCAAGCACCTCGCAGGGGAACAGTCCCCGGCTCAATGCTGCACGGGGAAGAATCTTTCCCAGCTCCACCTCATTAGCCAGCTGGCGCCTGCGTGAGCAGGGGGAGGGGTGCTGGAAGGTGAGCTGATGTGATGGAGATTGATGGGGTCAGTTGTCCCTTCTGGCAGGGTGTGTGTGTGTGTGTGTGTGTGTGTGTGTGTGTGTGTGTGTGTGTGTGTGTGTGTGGGGCACAGTCCTAGTGTCCGTGTCAGCTTGTGGACGAAGGTGTTTGCCAAGCAAAGCGAGTGACAAGAGATTACTCACTGCACACAGCTGCCCTGAGCAGCACCCTCCATCCTGCTGATGGGGCAGTGTGAGGGGTTTGGAATCAGCTGACACGGACCAGAAGGGGGCAGGTGAGATGCCAAGGTTAGAGGCACTAAGAGCGCTACCTTGATCAGAGCCCTCCGGGATAAAGGAGGAGGGGCAGGAGACTGAGTGACCGTGAGGAAGGATGATCCACCAGTTAGAGCATTAGCCTGGGACTTCATTTCTCTTCTCTGTAGGTGCTGGGGCAAGATGCATGCTGATGGGGATCATACATGTATCATAAACCCATGTGCCCAGGTGGGGCAATAGTGCACAAGGGACAGGAGTGGGCAGAGTCATGGGTAGAATCACAGGAGCACAAGAAAATCACTACAGCAACAAACAGGCTTCTACACAACTTGAGTCCCAGCTTTGTCTCCCTTGTGTACCAGGGACAGCTGTCTGGAACTCTACACAGCACCCAGGGACATCTAGCGGCTGAAAAATGTGCTACAAACAAGCCTCTTGTGGCAGGGGAGAGCACAGAGAAGCGTATGCAGAGATGAGCGTCAGAGGGAAAAGGGAAGAATGTGCACACGTGTTCCTCTTGAGGGGTGTAGGAGGCTCCCCTGTCCCAGCCCATCCCCGGACGCTGCCAGACTGGACACAGAGTCACCGCTGAGTAGAAACATAAGAACATAAGAACGGCCGTACTCGGTCAGACCAAAGGTCCATCTAGCCCAATAGCCTGTCTGCCCACAGTGGCCAGCACCAGGTGCCCCAGAGGGTGGACCGAAGACAATGATCAAGCGATTTGTCTCCTGCCATCTCTCTCCAGCCTCTGACAGACAGAGGCCAAGGACACCATTTTATCCCCTGGCTAATAGCCTTTTATGGACCTAACCTCCATGAAATTATCTAGCTTCTCTTTAAACTCTGTTATAGTTCTAGCCTTCACAGCCTCTGGCGAGGAGTTCCACAGGTTGACTACACGCTGTGTGAAGAAGAACTGTCTTTTATTAGTTTTAAACCTGCTACCCATTAATTTCATTTGGTGACCTCTAGTTCTTCTATTTAGGGAACTAATAAATAACTTTTCTTTATCGGCCCTCTCCACACCACTCATGATTTTATAGACCTCTATCATATCCCCCCTCAGTCTCCTCTTTTCTAAACTGAAAAGTCCCAGTCGCTTTAACCTCTCTTTATAACTCCCTGATCTCACTAACCCTAACCCGCCTCCTGCTGCCCCAACCTTAAACTGCAGCTTCCTCGGGGCAGGGCCTGGATGCACAGAGCCCCAGACCACACGGGGGCGTGTCCAGCCCGAGGTCCCTGGCACGGGGGCGCTGTACGCCCCAGAGAGCCACACGCT